TATATATATAATTATCCAGTTTACCAAAAAAAAAAGATATATCGATAGGGTGCATGACCCAGCATGAGCGTTTTTACCCACACATGTTTAAGCCCCAAAACTAGTATAAAGATAAAATAATTAAATTAATAAAAATAGGCCTCAAGCAATTGATTCAATCCAAAAATTGATAGACCAATAAGATAAAAATATAACTGAGAGTGAATTAATAATAGGGCTATCATCGTGATCGGATCACTTATTCCGGTCAGGGTCAGAGTTCTCGGGCACTAGGCCCACAATATAGTGGAGAATCCGGCAGGATGAGACTGTCGGTGCCTTAGTGAGGTCGATGTGGTAGGGCCCATTATTGGGCAATGTCGCCAAGGTTCAAACGTGTGTTATTTGTGTGGACAGCCCGACCACATTATGTGCTTTTGCCCGATGAGAGATGGGGGCAGTATGGCACATCTAACAGGGTTTGTAACAGCTTCTTCTTTGTCAGTATGCCCTCCTGAACAAGGAACGCAGATGTCGACTGGAAGAGGTAGAGGCATGGTGGAGCCTCTAGGTCAAGTGGTCATCAGAACCGCACTTATGCACTATCAGGACGACAGGACCTAGAGTCGTCTCCAGATGTGGTTACAGGTATATTATACGTATTCTCCTTTCATGTGTATGTTTTGATAGATCCAAATTCTACTTTGTCGTATATTACTCCATTTGGTGCTGGTAAATAAGGAAAAGAACCTGAATTGTTGCATCAGTCATTTGAAGTGTCTATGCCTATAGGTGAGTCCGCGATAGTTAGGCAGGTATATCGGGGTTGTGATATGATAATATATTATTATCACACCTTAGCCGATTTGAATGAATTAGAAATGGTGGAATTTGATATTATTATGGGAATGGACTGGCTGGCTTCTTGCTATGCTAACGTAGATTGTTGGACGAAAGTCGTTCGCTTTAATTTTCTAAGAGAGCACGTCATTGAGTGGAAGGGTAATGTTGAACCACCTAAGGGGAGATTTATTTCCTACCTTAAGGCTCTGAAGATAATCTCGAAAGGGTATATCTATCATCTAGTGCAAGTGTAGGATGCGGAGGCAAAGCCTCCAACCCTTCAGTTGGTTCTTGTCGTTAACGAATTCCCTGATGTATTATTTGATGAGCTTCCTGGTATCCCTCCCGAGAGCGAGATCGAGTTTTCTATCGATGTGCTCCCCGACACGCAATTGCTATATATCCTTCCTTATATAATGGCCCATGTTGAATTGAAGGAATTGAAAGCTCGGCTGAAAGATCTTCTAGATAACGGTTTTATCAGACCCAATAGTTTCCCGTGGGGTGCCCCGGTGTTATTTGTTCGGAAGAAGGACGGTTCGTTAGAAATGTGTGTTGATTATCGTTAGCTGAATAAGGTAACCATTAAGAACAAATATCCTCTCCCAAGGATCGACGACGTGTTTGATCAATTGCAAGGCACCAAGTATTTCTCAAAGATCGATCTCAGATCTGGGTACCATAAACTAAGAGTCGAGGAGGAAGATATTCCAAAGACAGCCTTTCGAACCAGATATGCCATTATGAATTTCTCGTTATGTCTTTTGGCTTAAACAAAGCACCATCAACTTTTATGGATTTGATGAACCGGATGTTCAAGCCATTTTTGGATATCTTTGTGATCGATTTTGTAGATGAATTCTAGGATATCTAAAGCGAAGCATGACGACCATTTACAAATAGTGTTTCCGAAAATGTAAGTTGTATGCTAAGTTCTCCAAGTGTGAATTTTTGTTGAACTCGGTGACTTCTCTTGGACATATAGTATCGGACGAGGGCAACAAAGTTGATAATCAAAAGATCGAAGCAGTTAAGAATTGGCCAAGGCCCACAACTCCTACGGAGGTACGTAGTTTCTTGGGGTTAGCTGGTTGCTACCGGAGATTTGTGGATAATTTATCTTCCATTGCTGCTCCATTAACAAAGTTGACGCATAAGGCGGTTAAATTCCAGTGGAGCGATACTTCTAAAAAGAGCTTCCAGGAGTTAAAGAGTAGACTAACCTCAACACCTGTTTTAGCTCTTCCCGAAGGGTCAGAAGGTTATGTTATATATTGTGACACTTGTAGAGTAGGGTTGGGTAATGTTTTGATACAACACGGTAGAGTTGTTGCTTATGCTTCAAGTCAACTGAGAAAACACGAGCAGAGTTACCCGAATCATGACCTTGAGCTACCTGCAGTTAAATTTGCTTTGAAAATAGAGTCATCATCTATATGGAGTTCATGTTGATATTTTTACAGATCATAAGAGCTTGCAATATATATATTCAGCAAAAAGAATTAAATCTAATATAGCGGAGATCGCTTGAGTGTTGAAATATTATGATGTTGATATCCTATACCATCCCGGCAAGACAATTGTTGTGGCGGACGCGTTAAGTCGGAAATCTATAGGCATCCCGAGACATGTAGAAGTTGATAAGTTAGAACTAACTAAAGACCTGTACCGAATGGCTAACTTGAGTGTACGATTGCTTGATGTTGGCTATAGAAGAGCCATAGTTCAAAATGCCATCGAATCCTCGTTCGTGACAAAAGTAAAAGCACGACAATTCGACAATCTAGCCTTGGTGAAAATAATGGAAAGCATCTCCCATCAGAAGAAGCACCTATTCGAATTACCCGAGGACGAAGTCCTTAAATATAAGGGTCGGTTATGTGTATCCGATGTCAGTGGACTCCGAGGACAGATTATGATAGAGATTCACCAGTCCAAGTATTCTATTCATCCTAGGTCAACCAAGACATATCATGACCTTCGACAACTATATTGGTGGAACTACATGAAGAGAAACATTGCCGAGTACGTCGCAAAATGCCCAAATTGCCAACAAGTTAAGATTGAACACCAGAAGCCTGGAGGATTGCTTCTGAATATGGAAATCCCAGCCTGAAAAGTGGGAGATAGCCAATATGCTTCAGAATATGGAAATTCCATATGGGTCATTGTGATAGACTTACAAAGTCAGCCCATTTCCTACCTGTCAAGACCACCTTTTCAGCAGAGGATTATTCCAAGTTATATATTAAGAAAATAGTTCGACTCCATGGAGTCCTGAATTCAATTATCTTGGCCAGAGGTGCCCATTTTACAACTAACTTCTAGAAGTTTTTTCAAAAAGGTTTGGGTATACAGATCAATCTTAGCACAAGTTTCCATCGACAGACAGACGGTCAGGATGAGTGCACCATTCAGACGCTCGAGGACATGTTACGAGCCTATGTTCTAGACTTCAAAGGAAGTTGGGAAGACCATCTACCACTCATTGAGTTTGCGTACAACAATAGTTACCATTCTAGTATACGGATGGCACTGTATGAAGCTCTATACGGATGGAAGTCGAGGTCTCCTATCAGTTGGTTTGATATTGACGAGACAAAATTATTGGGTTTTGATTTGGTGCAACAAGTTGTAGAAAAGGTGAAAATGATTCAAGATCAGTTATTGGCCGCTCAGAGTCGCCAAAATCCTACTCCGATAACCGGCGTCGATACTTAGAGTTCGCTATGGGAGATTGGGTGTTCTTGAAGGTGTCACCTATGAAAGGCATGATGAGGTTCGGTAAAAGAGGCAAGCTTAGCCCCCGATATATTGGACCATACCGGATTATCCAGAGAATTGGCCAAGTAGCTTTCAAACTTGAGTTGCCCTCGGAGTTGGGAGCAGTTCACTCGGTGTTCTATGTATCCATGCTTCATAAGTGCTTGGGTTATCCATTTTGCATTACCCCTATTAAAGATGTTCAAGTTACAGAAGATCTATCCTATGAGAAAATTTTGGTGGCTACCCTAGATCTTCAAGTTCGTAAGTTGCGAACCAAAGAGGTAGCTTCCGTTAAAGTACTTTGGAGAAACAACAATATAGAAGAAATAACATGGGAAACTGAAGAGGATATGAAATCCAGATACCCTCATTTGTTCCACGCTGAAGGAGAAAATATTGAGACCAATATTAGCAAGCACAACTCCAGGTACCACAGAGGGCGATTGAAGAATTTTGAGAGTTAGGATACGAATCAATATTCGAGGATGAATGTTCCGAAAAGGGGATGATGTTACACTCCACGTTTTTCCCTACCCATGAAGTTGAAGATGGATGGCTTTGGCATCTAGCGCAACCAATCAACCGGTGATACGCTAGTGGGGCAAAAAGATAATTACATTTTACCATATTATGTCGGCTGCCCCACCGGGAGCAGTGGCCAGTGCGGAGTGACCCATTTTGCACTCGAAATAGTAGCGTTTCTAGATTTGATATAAAATAAAATACAACTTTCTTCTCTTGCATTCAACATAATATTACCAGCTTTAGCTTTTCCCAAAAACGCTCCGAAAAACCCTTTCTAAGAATTTCATGTGATTCAAAGACCAAATCAAAGGCGAACCTAGTGAGAGGTAACGTAAACATCTCGTGACCATTTTGTATCATCCTTCTTTGTGTTTTGTTGATTTTGGAGACTTCTTGGAAGTGAAATAATCTTAAAGCTGAGAAAGGAATTTATGTGCTTGAAGAAAACTGTCACAGAACGAGTAAGAACCCAGGAAGCATAATTAGTTCTTCAATAAGGTATGTATGGCAGCTTTATTTCTTGGCATGATTTGTTGTAAGCGGTTCTTTTTGAATGATCCTTATATTGTAAGGTTGAATAGCCTTTCTTGACAATGTTGTTCATGTTCTTGTATGTTCTTCGTTGATGGAATTTTCTTTTAAGTTTGAGATGTTCCCGGATGGTAGCTTGAGGTCGGAAAATATAGTTCATTCTGAATCTAATCTTGAAATCTCTTGAAATTGATCTTGCATTACACTTATATGTATGTATCTATTTTACTTTACCGAATCGCACTATAATCGGTCGGGTACGACACCTATTATACAACCACTGACTAGTTGACTATGATGAGACATGATGTGAAGTGTTTACCAAGCCTTTGTGTGGTCGGGTATGATGATGTGTGATTTGAGGCTACCGAACCCTCTTGAGATCGACTACGCCGAGTCTTGTTGATGCCGGGTATAATCGAAACCTCCTGAGGCCGGGTACGACCGAATCCTCTTAAGGCCGGATATGCCGAGTTCTATTAAGACCGGGTATGACCTAGTCCTCCTGAGGCTGGGTATGGAGTGAGACCTCTTGAGGCTGGGTACAGCCGAGTTCTATTGAGATCGGGTACACCCGAGTCCTCCGGAGGCTGAATATAATATAAGATGATATATGATATGCCCCAAAGAGTAGCTGGACATGAGATATTATTCCCCCAATGAGTGGCTGAATATTATAACGAATTCATGGCCCCAATGAGTGGCTTGATTTCTTTACAAAACATGCAATTCTTATGATTCTCGGTTACAGCAGTATACGCCCTCAGTGGTTTTTTTTTGGAATTCAGGTTGAAACTTTGTATTCATATCTCTTGTATTATGTCTTTGGTTTACGTATTTTACCAGCCTTACATACTCAGTACATCTTCCGTACTGACGCCCCTTTTCTTAGCTCTGTGTTTATGCCCACAGGTGCAGATAGACCCGGTAACGTTCCTCCACAGAAGGATACTTGTTTCAGCTGTTGGTTGTCACACTCCACTATTTCGGAATAGCTGTACATAAGTCAATAGGTACCGGAATACATATTTCTATCATTTTGGATATATTGAGGCCCTGTCCGGACCAAGTTATGCAATATGATACTCTTAGAGGCTTGCAGACTAATATTCGGGTGTATATAAAGGTTTGTTATGACTCCGTTGACAATGGTTTATACTCAATGTTGAAGTTTCTTCCACCTGTCAAATGTGAATATTTTTATATTGTTAACCTACGCGGAGGCCTTGTTGGCCCTAGTTTTATGTTGAAGAATCTAAGTATTGGTATTGGTTCGTACGGGCCTTCGGACGTCGTGTAACACATTATAGACTCATTAATTTGGTGACTTCAGACCCTCTGTTTACCCATGAATTCTGCAAGGTTCCATATGTTTCTCCAGTTTTCCTTCGAGGCAATGATTCCCAAGAGTAATTTGGAGGAGAATTCCTCGGAGATTGCTGGGGCATTTGTAATCTTCATTTTTATTTTGTCTGGTCGAGCCATCTCTAACTCGGTTATTCCCAACTTTATTGATTGGCAAGTCTTCGATCATGCTGAAGGTTTAAACTGATATTAAACAAAGATTAACAAAAACTATTAGTATATTTTGATGAATAGAAAATTTACCTGGGCTTCACGGTAGGCGCCGAATTATCTAACTCAAAAATTTGTTTGAGGTTAAAATAATTAAATTTATAAAAGTAGGCCTCAAGCAATTGATTTAATCCAAAAATTGGTAGACTAGTGAGATAAAAATAGAATTCAGTAGTGAATTGATAATAAAGTAAAAGAAAAGTTACTCTAATTCAATGATCCTTGACAGAAAAGAGTTGTTAAACAAGATTGATGAACACTACAAATAAGTAGAAATGAAGCTATTTGTTTCTTGTATTAGTATATGAATATGAATTGGGGTACAAATAAGAGGAATTAATGGAAAAATCCTTTTGGCCACACCATTTTTGGCCAGATTGACCCAAATGAGGTCATTAAAGTAAATTTACACGCAAATTAGGGTTTCTGGCCAAACTTTATATCGAGAATGCCCTTACAGCTAGGTTTGAATATTTCTCTCTCACCCATTTAATATTTGTCTTCTCAATACATGGAAGATATCAAGCATGCAAATCCCATTTTCCATAAAACTTTTACTTTTCTTTTTTTACGTATTTTTTCATCCATTTTTTTGGTAGTATAAACGTGTATATTTCGTTTTTTTTCTAAGCTTTGTTTAGAAATGTTATAGTTTTAGAACTTTCAAGACATATAGGACATTTACCTTTTTTACCCTTAAAAAAAATTCACACTCGATATATATATATATATATATATATATATATATACACACACACTACTCTTATGGCAGGCGCTTTGCGAGTGTAACTAAGTCGGTGAGTAGATGACATTTTAGAAAATCGTATTAGTACTATTAAATATAATATGTTTGTAATAAAAAAAATAAACTATGCTCCTTAAAATATAGCATATAGTTTTAGTTGAAAAGACTTCTGTATAAACTCTTCCGTGTCAATTTTCTATTTTTCTGATTATCTTTCACCGCCATTAGTATTCTTATAAAAATAAATTTAGGTATCCTAAGAGTTTTGTCAAATTGAAAAATAATTATAATTTATGACGAATTTGACAAATAATTGATTTGAATTTTTAGACTTAATTATTTGGACTTAACACTAACCGAACTAATTTATGTTTTGTCGATTTAAATTCTTAATATTAGCTCATCCCAAGTTTTAAATATTTAATTGTAACATGAATTAAAGGGATTGAAATTATGTTATATCTTTCAAATAAAATATAATTATATTAGTTAATTAAAATTTAATTTATTTAAAGTACTGAATGCTAAATCTCTCTACATACATCAAATAAAAAAAATTAGGTCTTAAATATTTAAAAACTAATACGAAAGATATTATAGTTAAGATAAAAAACCTAATGTCGGTCACAAAAATTACATATTGTTACTATGTTTGACCCCAAAAAATATATATTGATACGACCTTTTATTATAAAATTTCATAAGATTTTGTTTTTTGAATCCTATGATATATAAATAAGAATTATTTTTTATCAACCCTTTTAAAGGTTTTGTTTTTCTAGAATGTCTAATAAAGGATTACAAACTTCAAATATTTAGTTCGTCCATAACTTGAATTTCTCTTTTTTTGTTTCTTAGGATAACTTTGGATTTAATGATGTCTATAAAGAATAAAGTTTTTCTAGGGCTATAGCTTCTTCATCTATCTTTATTTGTAAGGTAAAAATTTTAACGATCATAAATTTTAGCAATTA